TTGCTCTGGATTTTTGCAGAAAATACCTAGACAACAAATGCGGCCGTGGCCCTTCAACGTGCGGACAAACCAGACATTCCGGCCGACTGTTCTGGAAGTGGAGCAAGAGGCTCACAAAACCGTATATACATGCGTTATAAGTACCTCACTGCTGTGGCAAAACCTTACAAATGCAAATCTTACATTTGCATATGCATTAACTAGCTCTCCATCTCGATGTCCCATTCATCCCTCTATTTCTTCGTCATCTATTTGGAATTCTCTTACAGTTATCTTGTGATAGAGATTTTTATTTTAATCGTGCGTGCACTATTCTGCGTGCTCGCGCACTTACTCGCTCCTGCTGCCAGCTGTTCCTATTTGGACTACATCGTGCCTTCTATAATGCTAACTGTTGTTGCTTTTGTTCCTCAGATACAAGACCTTGCTGAGACTGATAGTTCATGGACAATATTTCTAGAGACACTCAGTGTGGATAGTGGCCTCACCCGATTGCCTGTCTTTGATAAAGAGAGTGAGTACAAACTGAGAAAAAGAAACTATGAGAAATATATATTTTGCAGAACCCTGATCGACGATTTACCCTTTTTTTTTCTTTCCTATTTCAGGTGACGTGTTGTTGTTCCTGAAGATGTACGATCCAAAAACAAAAAGCATAAACTACTGCGGGCATATATATGCTGCCATCACAACAATAGTCAGTACGTAATCTTATAGTAGTAAACCTTACTGTTGTCTGTAGTTTCACACGCTGGTAATTGGAACTAGTATCTGAGTAGTTTCGTTTCCCTCTGTCCTTGGCCTATCCCTTCTTTTTCTCTATTTTTCCTATGATAATTGTAATCCACTTTGATTATTAATTTCAGGTGACATACTACCTGTGTTAAATGAAAGGGCTGGTTTCCCTAGAGATACTCCATTGATATTGTACGAGGTATGTATTGGAAACCATTCTCTCGATGTAATGATTGTAAGTAAACGATTGTGTGATGTGCTGTAGTTATAATATGGTCAAGTTTGTGTCATTTTAACATGATGGTGATTGGAAGGATTTTAATTTTCATAAAAGTAATGAAGAGTTTC